GCAACTCTGCATTAAACCAAGGAGCAAGCTTTCTATTTTTAACGGTTTCCTTTTTCAAAGGAGCTGCGTTGTCTAAGGCAGAGAACTAGCAACCCCATCAACAAAATCATCAACCTTTGAAGGGGAATAAACTAACAAACACATTAGGTGTTCAAAACAGGCAGCCTGTCCTTCAGACCAGGATCCAATCAAAGAATGATGGGCATGAATTCACAGAGAATGAAATATTTCTAGGAAGAGGATTATCAGAGCGCATCTAGATGTCCTTTCTATTCTGAAAGTTCTCAGCGCTACCGTTTCACCTCCTAATCCGTCCCAGACATCCAGACCTGATCCGTCCTCATTAGCAGCCTACAGACTTCTTTAACACAACTGGATTATATTAGGGAGAGAACATTGATGGCTGATAACAGCATCATAGAAAACACCTGCAGTCAGACAGACACTGAGTATTTACTGGAAGAGGAGGAACCCATGAGACGATGAACAGGTCCTCCCTGATAGAACGATTCTAGACTCCATCTCCACCTGCTGACAGGCGATTTCACCTAAACAGATACAATGATCACCACCATTCCACATATACTAGTTAACCCAGATAATGTTATCTTGGTCACAGGCTATGGCAAGCCGTGATGATATAAGTTTGACTGAATATGTATGTAATGCTTAGAAACTAGTCCATGTATTTGTTATTTCAAGGCTGGACTATTGTAATTCTTTACTATCAGGAAGTAGAATGGGAGGCAGATCTTTTAGTTATCAGGCTCCTCTCCTGTGGAACCAACTACCAGTTTTAGTCCGTGAGGCAGACACCCTGTCTACTTTTAAGGCTAGGCTTAAAACTGGTCTCAGATCTGCTTTCCCGAGGCCATTCTACATCCATTGAGGACGACCTTGGGCATCCTGGTTGGAGTAAAACTCACATCCATGCCCACCTGCCTGTCTGGTCTCCAAGCAGTGGCTGCAGTCAGGAGGCTTATTGTAGCTCGGGCAGATCCCTGGAAGACTTTCAGACCAAATGATTTATTTCTGATCCTCGTCTCAACTTCTTAAAAACACCTGAAAAAATACACAGCTTCAAAAACCATGAGTCGATCACTAGTTGCTCTATCGGATATTTTTTCTTCTTTTTTTGTGGTATTTGTCACAACTGACTCTCCTTTGTCGGTGTACTCAGGATAACACAGGCCTGAAATTACATGTTCATATTTCTGTTTTTTTTTGTAACCCTACTGGCATTTGTTATTCTCTGTGTGTTTTCTGATGTGTGCCAGACGGTGGCAGGCCTAGTGACCAGGGCTCCGTTATCATGAAGCAGGTTTAACAAACTCAGATTCAAATCCTTAATTCTAAATTGATCTAGCCTAAAGTCGAGAACTATGAGTGATCGGGATTGTAAAAGCTGCTATCAATCACTTAAATCAACTTTAACTAGGTCCACTAGTCTATTAACCTAAACCAATATGCATGGTCTGGTTGTTACATGTCAGATATGTCGGTCATTGACCTTAACCAAGGAACCTTCCAGTAGAACTGCAGTCAGTCCCTGGACTGGCATGGCTATCACTGCCCCTACATAGTTAGCATGGCTATCACTGCCCCTACATAGTTAGCATGGCTATCACTGCCCCTACATAGTTAGCA